CTCTCACACACACACACACACACACACACACACACACTCTCTCTCTCTCTGTCTCTCTCTGTCTCCAAAATAAATAAACACTAAAAAAAATAAAATTTACTGACTTGAATTTTGTGGGTTTTTTAAAGTTTTTTAATGTTTATTTTTGAGAGAGAGAGAGAGAGAGAGAGACAGAGTGTGAGCAGGGGAGGGACAGAGAGAGAGAAAGACAGAGTCCGAAGCAGGCTCCAGGCTCTGAGCTGTCAGCACAGCACAGAGCCTGATGCAGGGCTCGAACTCAGAACTGCAAGATCATGACCTGAGTTGAAGTCGGTTGCTTAACTGACTGAATCACCCAGGCACCCCGAATTTTGTTTTGTAATAGGGAGAAGGAAGAATATTCCAGATGAAGGAAGAGAATGCATAAAGGCACAATGACAGGAGAGAACGTGCATGTGCCAGAGCCTGAGAGCAGACCAGTGAGGTAGAGTGAAGAAGGTTTCAGAGGAGGGGATACATGTGAGACATATGAAGCTCAAAAGACAGGACTCGGCAATAGCGTTAGGAATACTTTCGTGGAATGAACAGACAACCTGACCAACAGTGGCTTGAACACATGAGTCTGTGTGTGTACATGTATGTGTGTGCACGTTTCCTCAGATAAGAAGTTTCCTGAGACAAGAAAAAGATAGTAAGAATTCCAGAAGTAAGGGGGATTTGAATAGGAGTTCAGTGATGCCAGGGCCAACATGAAGCTCTTTTTCCTCACAGCTGAATCCAGCTCCATGCTTCATGATCAAATCCAAGGCAGGAAGAATTGGAAAAGGGGGCAAAATTCAAGACAACAGTCTCTTTTATCAGGAAAGGAAAATCTTTCTCAAACCACCCTCCTCCCCCAGCAGACCTAACTGTGTAATCAGGCCACTTTTAGCTGCGAGGGAAGCTGGAAGTTCAACTTTTTGGCTTTTCTATCCTCTTTAGAAAAAAATGGAAAAGGTAGAAGAGGATTGGGAATGCATGTTGAGTTAGTCAATTCACAGTGAGTTTGCAAGTACAGGGTGGGGGAGTGAACAACTGGATGGTTGATATCATTCTGATTAGATAATATTGCAACATAGTGAGTTCAGTTTTGGGAATATTGAGCTTGAAGGTATATGGTAAACTGAATCCCTGGAACCTGTGAATATTACTGCCTATGACAAAAGGACTCTGCAGAAATGATTAAATTAAATTTTGAGAAAGGGAGATTATTTTGTATTATCCAGGTGGGCCCTAGATGTAATCACATGTGTCCTCACAAGAGGGAAGCACAGGGAGATCTGAGCCCAGAAAAACACTAGATGTGACAATAGAAGGAAGAGGTTACAGATGTGAGGAAGGGGCCACGGAATTCAGGCAACTTCAAAAACTAAAAGAAAATAGATTCTCCCCTCAGAGCCTCCAGAAGGAACCAATGACACCTTAACTTTAGCCTGTCGAGATTGATTTTAGACTTCTGACCTCGAGAACTGTAAGAGAATAAATTTGCGCTGTTTTAAGCTTATGCTTTAAGTTTGTGGTAATTTGTTACAGCAAGAATAGGGAACTAATGCAAGTTGCCTTTAAAACATCTAAAAGAGGTCAGTTAGGCAGTTGGATATAAGGGTCTGGAGGTGAAAGAAGAGGGCCAGGCATGAGGTCTACATTTGAGTGTCATATTCAGGTGTGTAGCATTTGAAGATGTAGAAGGGCATAAGCTCCTATGAGGAGAGTGACACTGTCACCTACATGCTGTGCATGTTTCAGCCAGATACTTAACTTCTCTGAAACCATTATTTATTGAGCCTTTATTCTGTCCTGGCACCATACAGAGCTATTTACGTGCACTCATTCAATACTCTCAGCCATTTTATGAGCTAGACACCATTTTTATCTATTTACAGAACAGGAAACTGAGGTTTAGAGAGATTAGTCATGTGTCCAAGATCAGATAGTACATGATGTAGTGAGACTAACTCCATTCCTCATGCCTTGGCCCTTATAGACCATGCACCAGCAGCACTGGCACGATCTAGGAGTCTGTTAGTCCTACTGAATCAGAATCTGAATCTTCACAAGATCCCCAAGTTATTTATACTTTGTGTGACAAGCACTGGACTCTAGCCTGCGTCCAGAATGGGTTCCACTCTGGCAGGTGCCGCACCAAGAACCTAACTCCGAGTTCTAGAAGCACAGACGTTTTACACCTCTGCATCTTTGCTCACACCATTCTCTACCTGGAGCTGACACTTCTGTTCAGGTGCCTGCATTAGGCACCTCCAGGATTCTCAGGTGCTTTCGACTACAGCAACTCTCGGGTTACAATGCTGTCTCCTCCACTACGTCTCCGGTGCAAGATACAGTCCTCTCTCGCCTAGGTGCCCCAACGCCGGGTTTTGCCAGGCAAAATGCAGGAAACGCCAGAGCAGACACCCAGCAACTATTTAAAGATAAGTATGAAGCAGCTAACGAAACTTAACTTGTCGCCAACTTAACTTGTCGCCGTAAGAAATCCGCGCAGACACTGTCACGCCCTGCCGAGCCCTGGAGTGAGACGGGGCGGTGAAAGGACAGTTAGCGGGAGGTTTAAATGACACAGCACTAGAGTCCCACGGCCGGACTGGCTGAGCGCATGCGCGCAGCGGCCGAGGCACCGCCTCAGACGGCCTTTCCCGCATGCGCGGGAGCCCGGATGTGGATCCAGTTGGTTGAAAGCGCCGGGCGCTACAGTAATGGCCGCTCTCGGAATTGCGATGGGTGGTGGCAATTGGTTTTCGGCTTTGGCGCTCGGGGTGACTCTCCTCAAATGCCTTCTCATCCCCACATAGTAAGGGACCCGCACCACGGTTGGTCAAAGCGGGAGAGAGAAGCGAAGATGCCCGTGGGTGGGAGGAGGAAAGGGAACTTGAACGCTCATGTAGGCTCCGCCGTGCTTTTGCTAAGCTTCCCGCTCCGCCGGTTGATTGTTACTTGACCTGAGAACTAGATCATAGCCCTGGATGGCTAGGTTCAGGCTTGGCGCTGACTGAGTTAAATGTTTTTAAGCCTTGGGTCTTCATCCTTAATATGCAGATTAAGAACACTCAGCTCCACCATTCGTTCAGCTGTATTTAACAGTTGTCTGCTGGGCTAGGCACTGGAGATCCAGTGGTGAGAAAGACATTTCCGATTCTTGCCCTCGATAGATTAGTGGGGCCAGATAAAAACGAATGTTTCAGATTGTGATAGGATGTATAAAAGAAATTGACTACAGGTCAAGGCTTTACCCCTCTTTCAGGAGGTGATGTTTGAGTTAAAATTTGAAGGATGAAAGAGAATAAGCCATGTAAAAATCAGTTCAAGCATAGGAGAGAATAAGTGTAAATGCCCTGTGGTAGGAAAAAAACTCAAGAGCATTCTGGGAACAGAAAGTGACCGTTGTTGCTGAAGAGCATGATGGGAGGAGGAGAATGGCACAGGATGAGGTGGACAGTGGCCAGATCACACAGGATTAAATTGCTATTTGAAAAATAGAGGGGCAAGGCTGAAAGCATGGAAACCAGTTAGGAAGTATCCACCAAGTAATATGTATACTGTGGGTACTCAATATTAGCTTCCACCATCTGTTCATCCTTCCTAACTCTTATCCCATCATTTATCATTTCATTCCTTTTCTCCCTTCCTTCCAGGTCTCCCCACCCCTTCCCAGTTTAGGTTTTGGTTTACTGGTATCATTTGGTTCAAGTTCTTGGTGATATCCTGCTGGGTATGGAAGAACTGTATGGATAGAGTGTGCATTTATACTGATGTGTCTATGTAATTATATAAGCAATGAAATGTGTGTAGGTTTAGCAAAATGACTTACAGGGACTTAGAAAAAGGAGTTGGTCAGTTGAACTTTCTGTGCAACTGAAAATAAATAAGAAACATATCTCCATTTTAAAAGCAAATTGGAAAAAAATCTTTCTAAAATGAAGAAATTCCTTTCAAATCGGAGTGAAAGGGAATTCTTTTTTTTTTTTTAACTGTAGATCTGTGTATATAAAGTAATGTTTCTTGCTTTAGTTACTTCAGGGTTGTTACTTTCAATACTGCTCTTAGTCCAGGATTAAGAGCATATATAGTTGTAGTTAATGTTCTGCTTCTCAACTGCAAAACCCTGGGATGTGAGAGGGAAGGATTACAGCATTACGGTATTACAGGATAAATGTAAATATAGTGAACAAACTGTTAACTGCTTTTTGTATACCATGTACTGGGCTAGGTAGTACAGGGGAGGACAAAATGGATATGATCACTAATCCTATAAAGGGTATAGTTTAGTAGGATAACAGTTCCAGCAACAAATCAAAGTAAATATGTAATTACACAACTACACTGGTGTTAAGTGTTATGAAGAAAATTAGCCAGTAATCCTGTAGGAAAGTACTGTATGATCAAATGTTTAATCATATAAATAGAATGTATTGTGTGCAAGTATATCAAAATTCTTTTATTCCGTCATTCACTTCACTATGCTCTTGTTATGATGTGCTAAACAGGGAACACGGTTAGTGAAAGGAAGATAAACCTGGCTGTTACTACAAAACTTAGTTTACCAATGTTTAAAGAACACAACTTTTTTATCTGTCTCATAATTTGGACCTCTTGTGTACATACTGCTAATAACATGAAGACCTTTCTCTGCACTATATGCAAATGGTAACTAAACAAAGCCACTTTGAATCCTTAAAGGTTCTTTCCAGGTTTATGACAGTAATTGTATTTACATTTTATGGTGCCTAGTATTGACATAGTGTTATATCTCTGTAGTAAACAGATGAATCCATTAAAAAAAAAAAAGTGTTATAAGGGAAAAGAATGGGATTCTATAAGGGGACTAACTAGGGAGACTTACTTAGATTGGGTGTCAAGGAAAGTCTCAGGAATTGACATGTAATTGGAGGCCTGAAGACCACACCCAGTACATGTCTTTTGATAAACATAGGTAAATGTATTTCTGTTGACTACTGAATATACTTAGAAATTAAAATGCTAGCTCAGTTTTGAATTGTGATTTTGAGGAATCCATAGGAAATTAAGGGGACATTGTCAGCAGGAATTTGGAGATACCTATCTCTAGAACTCAGGAAAGAGATCAAGCTTGTACTGTGGTTTGGAAGTCATCATTATACCATTAATAATGGAAGCAATAAGAATGAATAAGATTGTCCAGAGTAGAGTAAGTTGCATAAAAAGAGGACCAAGAACTGAACATAGGGGATCATCAGCGTTTACCTGATGAATATTGGAATGGAAAGCCATGAAAGTTGGCTAGGAAATTCAGGAGATAGCTCACACTGGAAAGGTTGTATAAAACATTGGAAAGTGTTAATCGGGTTTTGTTGTGGAACTCGTTGACTTTGATGATGAGTGGTTAACTCCACAGGAATGTGTTGAGCCCATCTGTATATCAGGTGCTGTTCAAGACATGGAAGGGAAATACTGCAGTAGACAAATGGGAAAAGAAAATTATTCTGAAGAGGGGAGAAAGGCACAGAATATGCCACCCCAAAATATGTCTCTTTGCCATAAGGATTATTTGGGGCTGATTATTTGGAGAAACTGCAGATACAGGAGAAGCTCTGAAAACAGTAGAAGTTACCCTTTTAATAAGATTTGTAAGTTTTTCCTTTTTATAAGGAAAATTTATGTGAGAAAGGGGGCCTGTACCAGAAAGAGAGCTGTTACCAGAGATCACTTTTCCACCTGACTTATCTGCTGGCAGGGTGACCTTTGTGCACCAAACATCTTCTCACTTGAATTTCTTCTCCCCATTTGAAGCCCCAGGCTCCTATCCCTGTCCTTAGTTCAGGGTGGTATATAAGCCTTAATCATTTGGCCACCGTTTAAGCCTCATGTCTTTCTCATCTCTTTTCGGGCTCCCATATATACATATATTATTAAAATTGGCTTTTTTTTTCTCCTGTTAAATTTGTCTTATGTCAGTTTAATTCTTAGACCAGCTACAGAACTTGGAAGGGTAGAAGAGAAAATGTTTCTTTCCCTGCAGGAGAGATTCTTGACTATATTTACACATAGTGAGGAATTAGGAGACATGGAAAAGGCAGGGCAGGGGCCTTTTCTCACCTTCTCCATCTGATGAACTCCTGCTCATCCTTGAAGTTCTAGCTGGTGTGTGAAGCATTTTCCAGATAATGAATATTGTTAGAATTCTTTGTGAACAAGAGTAAGTGACCTCTGAGCAATAGCCAGAGGACCTCCCTTAAGAAAGAGTATGGGATTTTGCCCAGCCCTTTAGATAACTCCAAGAACCTTTTCACTTACTTGTAGATCCCCAACTTTTCCAGAAGGAGGTCTGGCCTTCAGATAAGTGAGGTGTCTCAGGATTATGTAATGCCTGTTTGTGTTTTTAGAGGATCATGAACTGTGGCTGTATAGGAGTGTTAGTCCATTTAAAAGCATAATTTTAGAAATGTGAAATTGATAAATGTAACAAAATCTCATTTTACTCATCTGATTACTTTGAATAGCCATTCCACAGATTTTGAAGTCCACCGAAACTGGCTTGCTATCACTCACAGTTTGCCAGTATCACAGTGGTATTATGAGGTAAGTTTAAATTTTCACTTTTTTGGTGGATTGTCTTTTACAGTGATGTGTGAAATCATATAAGTCTTACTGATATCAGAAGTTTTCCATGTGATTATAGCTCTAATTAATCTTTATAAAAATTGTACTTTTTCCTCAGTTCTGTCCTCTGGCACTATTAGGGAATCCCTGTACTTCAAAATGAGTTTCCCAAACAATAAATTAGAAATTATAATATTTGCCGCACCCCTTTTGAAAGAATTTGGGACTGGGAAAGAGGAATAATTAGATTCCAGGCCTGGCTCTGTCACAACATAGAAAATATATTTCATTTCTCTGAGCCTTAGTTTCTCATCTGGCACATAAAGATTAGGAATGAATTATTTCTAAGATCCTGCTAATCCCCACTATTTATGAAAAAAGAAATAATCAAATGTGATATATAGGTTTCTGATAATATACAAACCATTCTCTTCTATTATTTTTGAAAACTATGTATTTTTATTTCTGGTATGAATTACTAAGTTGGAATATGATATTTCAGAAGTGTCTTGATCAAAAATAGCACTCTGCTGCAGGGAGGTTTTTTTAAGACAATCTGCAAAGTTTTCTCTTAATTCATTGTTGCTTTTTGGGTTGGTTTGTTTGTTTGTTTGTTGTCAGATCAGAATAGTCCTTTGTACCAAAAAAGCTTAAGAACAATTGACCTAAGGGACCGAGTTCTTCTCACATAATAACATTATAAGTATTTGATAGGAATGCTAAGGATCTTTAAGTAATTGCTTTAGTATAAGATAGTTCAGTTTGCATGTATACATATCCATTAGAAGACATTTTGTGTGGCCTAGCAGTCAAGAGTTTGGGGCTGTGATTCCAGACCACCTCTCTATGACTTTCAGTTCTGCCAGCTAACACCCATGCTGAGTGACTGTGGGCAAACTGCTTGACCTCTCAAAGCCTCAACATCCCTAACTATTAAATGGTAATAAGTATTAGAGTGAAATGAATATGATGCTTATAATACTTAGCACAGTGCTTGGAACAGAAGTGCTCAGTAAACATTAAGAGTTATTAAGAATTAGCATTATTCATATCATGACCCTTAGACTGTAAATAAGAAGGCAGCCCCCTGTCTTCTCTTTCTCTCTGACCATTCCTTCCTTGCCTCCTTTGTTAACTTTTCCTCATCTGTACACCCTTTAAACAGCTGGTACTCTAGGGTTCTCTTTGTGGTACAGAATTTCAGTTCTGTAACTCTTTCTGGATGTTCTCTCATTTGTTCCTATAACCTTCACCACTGTCTGTTAACTTAGGATTCCTAGAACACTATTTAGGCCAAAGCTGTCTTCTTTATCAATTTATTTTAGATAAAAGAGTCTTATATAAAAGATACTCTTGTGGTACCTGGCTGGCTCAGTCAGAGCATGTAGCTCTTGATTTCAGGGTTGTGAGTTCAAGCCCCACATTGGACATAGAGCTTACTAAAGGAAAAAAAAAAAGTATTCTTGTAATGGTATACTTCTTTATTCTTCCTGCTCTGCTCAGAAATAACCACAAGAGCCAATAAGGAGCAAAACTCAGTTGTGGGCTTGACTATATGAGACAAGAACCTCACAGTAGGGGATAAGGCTGGAGAGGCACATGAGGTCAGGTCTGGAAGGGTCTCTTTGACATGGTAAGGAGAGTGAAGATGTGAGCAGTGGACTACCTAACTGTGACTTCAAACCTACCTTTCTGCTCTGGCTTCAGCTTAAATTGATTGGTCGACTGGTTCGGAAAGACACCAAAGAGACCCACAATAAATACTTGTGGAATGAACACAGTTGTTTTGAATCTTCATATGAAGAAGTTGGATATTTCTTTTTTTTTTCTTTAAAGTTTATTGGTTTATTTTGAGAGATAGAGAGCTTGCGCATGCACACACGTGAGTGGGAGAGGGGCAGAGAGAAGGAAACAGAGTTCCAAGCAGGCTCCAGTGCCATCAGTGAAGAGCCCAACATGGGTCTCAAACTCTCAAACCCTAAGATCATGACTGGAGTTGAAATCAAGAGTCAGATGATTAACCAACTGAGCCACCCAGGCGCCGTGAAGTTAGATGTTTCTATATCTGAAGAAATAGCTCTTCTTGAGAGCAAGATAGAGTTGCTCATATTAAGCAGTGTGGTAAGCAGCCAAGGGCGTTGCACCTAAGACCAGATATCATGAAACCAGCACAGGCTGACAACTCCTAGAACTGATAACCAGCAGAACCAGAAGAAGCCTGCAAAGACCCAAGACTGATTAAGCTCCTTTAAAAAGGGAGGACTTTTGCAGCAAACTGTCAGACTCTCCAGACGTTGAATACAGTGAAAGGGTCAGTGGGTCTTTGCAGGCTTCTTCTGGTTCTGCTGGTTATCAGTTCTGGGAGCCGTCAGCATGTTCTGGTTTCATGATATATGGTCTTAGTTGCAACGCCCTTGGCTGCTTACCACACTACTTGACATGAGTCACTGCTTGACATGAGTGACTCCATCTTGCTCTCTACAGCTCTGTTGTACTAGCTTACTGAGCTATGGATTTGGAGTCAGAAGCCCCAGATTTTAGTTCCACTTCTGCCAAATATTAGTTAAGTGATGGAACTGTTTACTTGGGAGGAAATGATAGCTAATAGCCTAACTGGCTTCCCAAAAACTGTTGAGGTAAGAGAATGGCCCAGATGGAAATCCTTGAGGTCCAGAGAACCTTCTCAGCTAGATTTGGAAAGTCTTTGTGTGGGGAATAGGAGCAGCATGTAGAAAGCCTCTGAGTGATATGGAATTGGGAATAGCAAAGAAATGACAGGGACATTTTATTTTGGAAAAATGGCCATCTCCCAGGCAGCACCTGTCCCTCCCAGTTTTTTTCAATGCTTTTCCTAGTCCCCATTTTATTTAAAGTAATAAATGTTCCAAATAAGGTAAAGTAGGACAAAACCTTTTACGCTTCTGTAGAGTAAATGGCTCTTTCAGGGTAGAGTGAACTCTGACATAGAAACTGTAGCTGGGAACTGCAGATGTTAAAGTTTAAGTTGATGTTGACTTTCCTGGAATTATATGGAGCAGTAATTTCTAAATTTGTTTCTTAAATATCTATACCCTAGCAAGAAAACATTTAAAAAAAATTTTTAAGTTTATTTATTTTGAGAGACCGAGCACATACAGGGAGGGGCAGAGGGAGAGGGAGAGAGAGAGAATCCCAAGTAGCTTCTGCATTATGCAGAGCCCGATGCAGGTCTCCAACTCACAAACCGTGAGATCATGACCTGAGCTGAAATCAAGAGCTGGACGCTTAACCTACTGAGCCACCCAGATACCCCGCAAGAAAACATTTTGATCATTTACTACTCCATGTGAGTTTATTTATAAATTACAAAAGTACTGCCTTATTAATATACTATTAAAAGTAGACATTAAACAGGATGAAATTAAAAAATAGAATTTCTAACTTTTCTTTCTCCAATTTAATAGCTCATCTTGTTTACACTCCCCGTTGGAAACTTGGGATTAGGGAAGGAACTTTTCATAGAGAATTTAATGGGTGGGTTCATAGCCTGAGTGCTTAAGACATACAGCCTCTGGGTTTGCCTCAGATCTGAGGCTTTCTACATGTTGGTACCTGCAGGGGGAGGAAACAAGCTACTTCTTATCTGGACCCAAAGTTGTCATTTAGCCTTACCATGAACAAAGAGCTAACAAGTAGTTTGTCAGAGTCTCTCTCACCTCATTTTATGCCACAGAGCGACCCTAAATAGTAGTCCCTATGAGCACCCAGTTAGTACCCAGTGAACCTTCAGTGCAATTCCAGAAGGAGAGGAATTTCCCATTGAAAAGAGCAACAAATACAGAGTAGGGAGATTATTATTACCGTCTGAGCTCTTAGAGGTGCAAGGTCTGAGTTTAGTTTTAGGGACATCCTATGGTGATAGCAATAATTTTTTAAATGATAAATAATATTTACGGACACTTTGTTTCTGGTTCAATACTATGTAAATAGTATTTGAAATGCGTATGTAAAATTTAATGCAGTAATGAGGTAGGTACATCCCTGTTGTTTGGGTGAGGAAATGGAGACTTAGAGTAATCTAACAAAACATAATATCCAGAAGTTATATATTTCATATACTATTTCATATGATCTGTATTTTCATTTACTCATTAGTGATTGCTTATTTATTTAACTAATGATTTTTTCATACTTAATATATCAGGCACTTACTAAAGGTTCAGAATACAGAAATGGCAAGGAGTGACTTTTGCTCTCTTAATCTCAGTATCTGATAACCTATAAGAACAAAAGATAAAAAGCATTTGTGTTATCTTTTGTCATTCATAACTGTGTTTCATATGTATTATATCAATTAACCCTCACAATACCTCATTTTACGAATAGAGAAGTTGAGTCTCTGAGACAGAACTTGAACCCAAGCTAGTGAATCATTTGTTATACCATAGCTCCCTTTATATATTTAGATGAGTAGCACCATGTCAGAACCAAGGTTATTGCAAGTTTCATTAATTTTCTTTGAAATATAGTTAATTCTATTTAAGGAAAATTGAAGACCATTATTAAATCACTTAGGAACCAGGTTTTGGTGGTCTGCTCAGTCTTACATAGAAATTACTCTATAATTTAATCATTTATTTAAAGTTTTGTTTTTTTTTTTTAATCTCTGTACTCATTGTGGGACTTGAACTCACAATCCCAAAATCAAGAGTTGCACGCTCTTCCAACTGAGCCAGCCAGGCACCCCAGGTCATGTTTTGAATGCAATTTTATTTCATGTGCTTTTTTAAAGACTAGAGAGTGAGGATTTTCAGTCTTTACACCCACTTTGTTTATTCAGTTATTTAGGATATGTTCTATTTTTTTATTTTTACAGGCAACTTCAGAATGGACCTTGGATTATCCGCCTTTTTTTGCGTGGTTTGAGTATGCCCTGTCACATGTTGCCAAATATTTTGATCAAGAGATGCTGAATGTCCGTAATCTGAACTATTCCAGCTCGAGAACCTTACTTTTCCAGAGATTTTCTGTTATCTTTACAGATGCACTCTTTGTGTATGCTGTCCACGAGTAAGTCTGAGAATGTCATTTTGTGTGGAAGGTGTTGAGGACATAATACAATATTAAGTAGTATTAACTGGTTCTTCATTTGAGAGAAACAAAGCTCACATGATAGCAAATTCTAGAATAGTTCTGAACTCTGTTACTGTGTTTTAAACTGTACAGTGAGTAATTACAGTAGGTAGTCTACCTATATCTTGTGGAAGACAATGGGGAATGAGGTGGGATTACAAGGCAGAGGCAGAACGAGAGATTGTGAGTGTTCTGAGGAGTAGTCTCACGTAGAGTTCCATGACCATTTCTCCTGCTCAGAATGGCTCCATATGCTTTTCTTTCCTTTCTTGTAACCGGCCCCCAGAGGTTTCTGTGACCTACCCTATTCTTTAGGATACACACACATACATACAGCACACACACTCGTGTACACATATTCATTGTGCTGACCACCAATGGAGTGTCCATTCTAGTAAACTCAGGAAACCTTACTGAGTGCTTTTAGTTGTTGTTTCTGGACTCTTTCCTTCATGAAGACTCTTCACTAACTTAAAAAAAATTTTTTTTAACGTTTATTCATTTTAGAGAAACAGAGCACAGGCAGGGGGGAGGGGCAGAGAGAGAGGGAGACAGAATCTGAAGCAGACTCCAGGCTCTGAACTCTCAGTACATGAGCTATGAGATCATGACCAGAGTCGAAGTCTGAGACTTAACCAACTGAGCCACCCAGGCGCCTTAGACTCTTCACTAATTTTAAGTTATGTTTATATTTTATATTTTTATGCTTTGCATCTTTTACTTATAAATTAATTTTAGTTGAATAGACATATATACAATGTCTTGCACAGTGACTTATAAGTAGTAAGTTCTCGGTTAATGTTGGTTCCTATTCTGTCCCAATACTTTATTAAGCCTGCTGGTATGATGTGACAGACCACCAACTGTGTCCCTTCATGACCCTTGTCACAAATGGATCATTTCTATTTGTGAGGCCCTCTACACTGAACCCCTGCCCCATCTAGGCAAGAGTCCCTTGGCAATGTTTTAACCCCTGCTCATTCTCAAGGAGTAGTTCCCACTTGACGCCTTAACATTCAATCTGTTTATGACCTAGCAAGAGTTGGAAGGGAAGGTGAGTTGTGATGTACACCTTTAAACTCAAAATGGTTGAATTGAAGTTCCTAGAGAAGCCATATAAGCAGAAGGAAGAGGGAATAGAATTCATTTCTACCTACAGTGTAGAAGGAGCAGTTAAATAAGATATAAATTGTTGAGATCTATGTCCCAGTTCCCAGAACCAGTAACAAAGTATAGACAGTAACTTACTTAATTTTCTCAATTATCCTGTAAGGTTACTGTCTCTGTTGAGGAAATGGGCTCCATGCAGGAAAAGCAGAACACCTTTTGCTAACCCCTCTTTAATTGCATCTTTATTGTCTGTTTCTTTTTTGGGGCTTAGATTTCTGTTTTTGCGATTTGCCGATACTCAGACGTATTTTTTAAAATCCTTTTTCTGGGATTATACATCATTGTCAAAATTTTGGAAAACAGAAAACCACACATGTACACAAAGTAGAAGTGACCTATACTCCTCCACTTACAGCTATCACCATCACCATTTTGCTATATATTATTTCATTCTCTCTTCTATGTCTGAATATAATTTTTATAAAATAAAAATAGGATCATAATTTTTTTCATTTGCTATTGTCATTTAATAATAGATCTTGACCTTTAAATGATACACATTTTTAATAAATGTTTTTAAAATTATTTGGACAATCGGGGCGCCTGGGTGGCGCAGTCGGTTAAGCGTCCGACTTCAGCCAGGTCACGATCTCGC